TGTGTAGTTGTGGTAGAAAATCGACAGATGAATATGGTGTCAAAACCTTGAATACTTNGAAAACGATTACGATTCATGATTTTACTACATGTTTATGTCTACATGCTCTAAGCATGGAAAAGACTACAATAGGATGTGGTTGTTGCACTGAAGCATCAAGACCATGAACTGGCTTGCCCACATCCCGGATTCCAACCCCACTGGAAACGTTTGGGACATTTACTTTTGCTTCCTGGCTGAACACAGGGTACAATAACGAGGCTCGTTTTAGTGCGTCCAGGAATCAAAGACAGTTATCTTTCATGAAAGGAAAAATTTGCAGGTCCAGACTATTCGTAACCTGACTGAAAGTATGCCTGAGATTTGTTTGGAGGTAAAGTTTGAAAGGTAAAGTTCTGTGTACGTTTTAACCAACTGGGTATTTTTATCGTTTTCTTGGGGATCGGATCAACAGGGATTCGCGATTCCAGGAATACATTTTCTATGATAAATCAGTTTATCAATGTTATGATCAAAATCCCTTCTCCTTACTCACTCTTCGGTATGGAGTAACATTAGCATCGTGAAGAATTTGATTAGTCTGCGGGGTTTAGTTACCGAGAGATTGTGGGAAAACGTTTTGGGGGTTAATGGCATTTTGTTCACCTTAGTAAATCGATCGGTGTACTTTTCTATCTCGGGTATTCCGTGTTGACTGTTTCAACCAATAGTTACCAGCTCCTTCTCGAATGGTGCTGTATTGCGGCTCAAGCAGTTACGTGTACACCAACGCACAGTCACACTCACATGTTCCATCGACCCAGCTGACAGGCACGGATTCGTATCTGCCTGTGAACACATGCACACGCACCCTGTCAGGATGACTTTTGACCTCGGTTTGTCTGTTCGATTTACACAGTACGCATGCCTATTCATTTGGTTTTGCTGACTGTTTGCTTTCACGTTTGAGCTTTGACTTGTTCACCTGCGTACATACCGGGTTAGTATGCACATGTCACAAATAAACGAATCGCATACTTCACTGTGCGATCGCTTACTTGCTCAACCAGAACACAACGCTAACCCAGCTGCGTTCTGGTACTGTCTATCTCATTTGATTTGCACAAGAACAAAAATGGCCTCATTTATACTCTATTTTCCTGAAATTATATTAAGTTGTCGAATCTTTCAGGAGAGTTTTGATCACAAGTTTGCAAACGAGGCATCTTTATTTCTTAGCTTCGAAAAACTGTAGTTTGCCTAGCGCGTGGTTTTCAAAAAAAACGGTCGCTCAAGCAATGCATAAATGAATCACAAGCTGAGAATTGCGCTTTACATCCGATTTCAGTTACGGACGGACTATTTCACAAGGGAAGGGTGTCGCAAAACAATTGAACTACTTCACGGGGACTGAATCCTGGGATTTTACAAGTCAGCTTCATGGATATCCCACTGTCAACGTTCGGCTGCCAGATCTATGCAAATTGTGATCTAGTATGACTTCCGTTGACGATTGCCGTAGTGAGAGTCGAGATGGAGATTTTCTATATCCCCGTGTACCGCTGTCAACCACGTCAACAGAACCAGTTTGAGCAGGGAGATGGTGCTAAGGTCGCTTTGCTCAGGTTGCTGACAGATTTACGAAATAGTCGACCGGAGTATTGCAATCGTCACCGCTGTTTGAGCGTGAGTAGCCGTATAAGATTAAACCACAGGTTTGCGATCGCTTCATTTGGGTGCTGATCCCTCTCGTAGTACTCCCAGAATGATTGTTGGGCACTAGTGATCGAAGGCCTCTAATCGTCGTCAATCTTCGACTCTAATTGGACAGGATTCACATCCGTACGGCAAGGCAGGAGGTCCTCCTGCGGAGAAAGCTTGTGGTTTTGTCTATACGATGATTCTGTTTCTATGCAATTAAGGATTCTTCGGCTGCACAAATACCTTTCTGGCAGCGGCAACGAGCAGTTTTACCTTGGCTTGAAGGGGCGTATGCGCTACCCTGTAGAAGTCGAACTTGGTCAGTCAATACATCATAATTCGCCTCACAGGTGCTGTGCTTCTGAGATTCTTTTTTCACCGAAAACCGTGACACACCGTACACCTTGTCCACAAAAATCTCCAGATGTGTGTGGGTTGAAGCTTGTCGAAGTCACTCTGAACCCGTAAAATACGACATCCCTTTATAAACATTTTACTATATATCAAAATTTCTCCGAAGTACTCATTCTTATTCTCAGAGAGCCTAAATAGCCTTAGAAGATTTACCGGATGAAAACAGTTATCAGGACGATCAAATGTTTACCTTGTCACAAAATTCAGAGCAATGACACATAGAAAGATATGCGGTCTTTTTAATTTTTTAATAAATTGCATCCAAAAACGACTCAGATTTGCCCATCGTACAGCGATGCTACCATGCTATACCCTCTCCCCCAGGCTATCGCGATCTCCAGTTTTGCTCATCTTGGATAATTTATTCTCCAAAAGTTTTGCAGACGGTTGTTCGCTCATTCGAACCACGAACATATTGTTCTTACTGATCCCTGAGGGGAACAGGTAATTTCATCTGACGGAAACGATTTAGCCCGTAGGTTGAAATTCCCATCATTAGACCAGGTTCTAGATTAACCAGTAAAAAGGCTTTCAAAGGCCAGTCAAGATTAACCAGTTTCATCAGCTGCTTCAAGAACGAGACAGTTTATCGTTTGCAAAAGCTATCAAAAGTAAACAACATGGGTTCTTTAAAGAAAGTATTAAAATAAGACACGAAATCCGTGGATTACTCAAGTTTCGGAATCACTGTTTTATGAATCATGCCCGTGGTGTCCACCAATCATTCCGAGGCCTGATGCTTCGATCACTTCACCAGCAAACAACAGTTAATCTTAGATATTCGGTAAGGTTCTATCAAATCATTTCCGAAATATTGCAGTACTGCTTGTTTCTTGATATGTTTGAGCAGAGGATATAGAAATGTACCAAACCATGCTAGTAGATGCCGAGGATGCGAACTGTGGACGGACTATACGGACACTTCAGTTCAGAACACATTATTTCAGTTTTTCCGCTGGTCTTTCAAACACAAACCTTTGCGCCAAGATCACTTCATACGAACAAGAATACCGCAAGTGAACATGAGCACTGAACCCATAAAGTTGCATGCGTTAGACATAAATGATGGTGACTTCATTTCCCGTAGCCTTTCATTTCACCTGGCAGTGGATACTATAACAAATCACTGTCATGAACGCGGTCAGATAGATATTGCATGAATTTAAGCAAAATTTTTGTCTGCATTACAAATGACGTCAGCAAATGTATGGCAGCGGGAACGATGCAATTGCAATGATCTGAGTACAAGTTTATGATGCCCAATAACCAGGAAAGGAATGAAACACTCGAGGTCAATTTTATGACCTACACACCATAGACCGTCACGGTGAGACTGCACCTTGACGTGGTATGATGGCTTGTGTGTCTCCATGACCCTGCGAGCTATACAGGATGGCTCCGCACAGTCAAATTCAATCACGCGCGAAAGGTCAATGGGCAGAGGCCAGATAAAGTTCAGTCCCAATGTCAGCGGCTTGGACAACTGGCTTCCTTCTTCTATCCACACCCGCCCCTGGAGAGGTCACTCCCGCAAATAAACACTAGGAGGGGAAGTTTACCGGCCATCTATGTGCTTTTCCGTCCACGTTTCGCCTGTCTCATTGAGTGCATGGGCCTAAGGGCCAATCCTGAAAAGCGTACCATCAATCAACACACCAGCGAACAACACAATGAACCGAACTTCAAATGCCTTGAATGACAGGTCCCCAGAAGCTCCAACAGGGGTGCTTCGGTCACGCTCCCGCGTTGGTTCTACGTTCCACTGCCATGTGGGTCATGCTGCGGTTAGAGTTCCCAAAGAAAAACCCCTTCATCAATATGGGTGGTCGCGAAGTATGTCGTACCCCAAAATCTTAAGTATCCATTTGGAAAACCCTCGTTCTCATCCCTTCAGTTCTTTCTCTCACTCCCAAGTATTATAAGATACATCCTGTTTGCTCCACTCATGGGAGATCACTCAGTGTTCACATAGTAATGCCAACCAA